ACCGGCGGTTTCCCGGTTGGCCGGCTCAACCGGCGGTTTCCCGGTTGGGCGGCTCAACCGGCGGTTTCCCGGTTGGCCGGCTCAACCGGTGGTTTCCCGGTTGGCCGGTTGAACCGGCGGTTTCCCGGTTGGCCGGCTCAACCGGCGGTTTCCCGGTTGAACCGGCGGTTTCCCGGTTGGCCGGCTCAACCGGCGGTTTCCCGGTTGGGCGGCTCAACCGGCGGTTTCCCGGTTGGCCGGCTCAACCGGTGGTTTCCCGCCAGTTCAACCGGCTGTCTCCCGGTTGCCCGGTTGAACCAGCGGTTGACACGGTTGACCAGTTGAACCGGCGGTTGACACGGTTCAACCGGCCAACCGGATCAACCGCCGGTTCACCCGGTTGCCCGGTTGAACCGCCGGTTGAGCCGGCCAACCGGGAAACCGCCGGTTCACCCGGCCAACCGGGAAACCGCCGGCTGAACCGGAGGTTTCCCGGTTGCCCGGTTCAACCGGCCAACCGGCCAACCGACCAACCGGGCAACCGGGACAACCGGCGACCGGACACATCCGGTTGAACCGACTCGTCTCGGTTAGTCGGCCGGCCGGATACTCCTAATGGTTATGTTGTCTTCTTTTGTTCTTTGTCCCTTTTCTTTTGGTGAGGCCGGACATCTGGATCGTTCTCCCGGTTTGACCGCATGGGCCTTCCGGGCCGACCACGCCGACCACGCGACAGGACTGTGTGCTGCAACACACTCCGGTGCTTTGGGCCGCCAGCGCCATCGGGCAGATCAACATCGCAGTCAGCTGCGGCGCCACGTTGTGCATCAGTGAGGCCTTTGACCAGGCGGTCTGGGAGAGCTTTGGGTGGCAAGGCCATGGCAACCAAGTCCTCCTGGTTTTTGTAACAGTTTTTCAATTCTGCTTCAATCAATTCACAAAGAAGCCTGTCTCCGAATCCGCTTTTTTTTATTTGCTTTTTGGGCTTCACAGATCCTCGAATCAAGCCGCCCTTCAAGGAAGCTGCATCTCCTCTCCGCCCCACCCACCACACCAACCTCTCGCCATCCTCCCACCCCCCACCCCCTCGCGTCCTTGATCGCCCGGAAGGAGTCCATCGTCCGCTCCGGCGCCTCGGTGCTGGGCTCGGTGCCCAGCGCGCTGGAGGCGCTCGACGCGGGCGCCTCGGCGCTGCAGGGCGTGCGCTGGGTCTTCACCTGGGGCGAGGCCATGGCGCCCACGGTGGCCCAACGGTGGCGCTCGGAGAGGAGGAGAGTGGTGGAATTGCTGATCAGTGCCTTGGAGGATCTTGGGAAGATCTTGGGAAGATCTTGACATAGCCTCGGAACAGTGTGTAGGTAGAAGGAAGATGGCAAGGATTAAAGTTGGAAACAGTTTGAAGCCTTGAACTTCCGGGCAAAAACAACTCCAAGAAAGGATCCATTGCAAGTTTTGTGATTTGCGGCGTGTTTTTTGCAACGACTTCAGGGCTGCCGCAACGGCACGGTAAGCGCCATAAGCTCAGCTGTTTGCGTTCGTCCGCTGGAGGTACCGAGTACTGGTTGAGCCTCTACAGCGAGGGCCGCTCTGCGCGGAGCGGGCGCAGCGTCTTCACGGCGGTGGAGGGCGCCGAGGCGCTCGGTTTTCACGCGGAGGTGGAGCGAAGGTTCATGGGGCAGCCGAGCAGCTGTGAGAGAGTCAAAGAAGCGAGAGTCGACCAGAGTTGGTGAAATTTGTTTTCTGATCATGAACAGATGCCTTCAGATTCTTTTCCAACTGAAGAGAAGGGAACAGAAGGTTCGATCCCGGAAGGCACCGCAACACGGATGGCTCAAAGGGGGGTCTCCAGGGTCGGTCTGAAACGCCACGTGTCAGGTGGCGGTGCTGCGAGATGGAGAGCTTTGCAAGGACGGTACTGGAGAGCTGTGCTTGCGTGGGCCCATGGTGACCACCGGGTGCGCTGCCCTTTTCCCGGACGAGAGAGTGCGGAAAGAGGACGTGGATGTGGTTTGGGATCCGGGGGGGAGGATTTGGGGTTTGGGGTGGGTTGATGGAGTTCTCCCAGAGGAAGAACATCATGACACTGAAAAGGAAGAAAGAGATAGATAGAGTGACAAGCAAGCAAAGGGAAGGCACGATATGGAAGGAAAAGAAGAACGGATAGAGAAAGGACTTAGCAGACTTAGCACATGCGAATGGGATGACGCTCTACTTTTCAGGTACCGTGGGGCCTCTTCGTCCGTTCATCCCCCAACGGATGGTGGCGCCTGGAAGCTCAGTGCTTCCCACCGCTCACCGAGCTGCTGCGTGGGGAAAATGCTGTTTGGGTTGGATTTTGGGAGACACAAACGATGAAACTAAGGAGCTGTGCCATGTAGAGGTGACCAATCTTTCCGTTCAGACATCCTGTCCCTTTGCAACGCCACGGCAGACATGTTGACAGTTGACACGCGGAAAACCCTTTGGCTGAGCAAACTCAGATCGGAGCAAACGCAGATCGGGGTCCCTATTTTGTCCCAAGGTTGACATGAAAATCATGAATCCTCATGGGTTACACTCCCTGGAATTGTCACGGAAGTGGAAAACCACTTATCTCTAGTCTACTTCCATGCTTTTCCGCTCTTGCCCGCGCGGGACACGGGCCACGAACATCGCTTCCCGGATCCGCCCGGCGTGTGAGGCGCCCTTCTTCAAGACCTCCGACCTGGTCACTTGGGGCGTCGGACGTCGATGGGAAGGGGTTTTCGGAGTCGATGGACACGTTGGGAGCAAGAGATCCGTCACGTGACGTTGGCTGGGTAAAAAGCCCCACTTGGTTGCTGCCTCATCCTGCCTCCTTGGCTCTCTTGGCTCCTTTTGGGGGGCAGGAAGACCTCAGCAAGTAGACAGGTTTTGGGAGGTTTGGATTTTCCCACTTTGGGGCTGTGCAATGTGAGGAGTCTCTTTTGTTCTGCATGGGCATCGACAGTCCTGTGTTGGCACACTCCTCCCATGGTTCTTTCAGCCTCCACGCATGGGCACTCCGGGTCATGGCACCCCGGGGCAGCCTGGTTGACCCCTCCCATTCCTCCACTAGGTTTTGACTCACGGCCACATTGGCAGCAACGTGTTTCAGATTTTGACTTGCAAAGAAGAAGCCAGAATGCATTTTGGCCGATTTTTGGCATGACCCGATCTGGTGATACACACTGTATGTGAACGGCTTTCATGCGGAAACCCGTCTCTGTGAATAGGATGTGAACAAAATGACCTCGTACTTGCGACCGGCGGTGAAAGCCTACCGGAAAGGTAAAGATTGGTATGCGGCGTGCCAGAAACGCATGCCAAAGCACCATTGTCTTACTATAAAGTTCCCTAAACTTCCATGGCGGAACCACGATGACTTCTAAAAGAAGAGTGAAGAAGAGTGAAGTGACCACAATTGAAGGAAACAACATGGAAGCTTCGGACTTCGGCACTTTGGTCTTTGGTCTGACCGCCACGCTTCGCTTCAACCCAGGTGACCCTCAGCTCTGGGGCGCGGTCGCTGGAGTTTCGAGGGCGCAGCGACATGCTCATCAAGGCGGGAGCCGGGAGGGTCTGCTGCCTGCGTTTGGATCCTGAACCACCAGCATGTGGGCGGAATGCTTGTTCTCTTCTGACCGGGATGTGCTGGCTTCGTTTTGGCTTCGCCAGCTGTGCTTGGGGAAGTGATCGAAACTCAGAACGCATTGATCTTCCCCAGTTGCACGTCGCACGGTTTTCGTTTGCGTGCTGGGCCAGTGGCCACAGAGGCTACACTGCCTAGATCTTCTGGTACGAAGGATAACGAAGAATAACCTACTGTCACCTACTTCTTTACCTTGACCGTCCTTTATTGTACTCTTGGATCCTTAGCACCTTTGGTTATGAAAACGAGGGGCGCATGGCAAGTGAACAGTCTTCTTGTACCTTTCCGCTTGATCCAGATCCAGTCTCAGTTGTGGGGGGACCAGACGGAGCAGCTCCCAGATGTTCTTCCCCACGGCTAATGCAGGAGCTGAGGGGCTCCGTCTGGCGCACCCAGCTGGTTGCTCCAAGTCTCGGGTGATAGGTCACAGGTGAAACCATCCGTCATCCCATGGTTCGACGGGGGCCTTCGAAAAGCGGCTGCTTGGCCATTCGTCTCCAAGTGGTGACCAAACGAAGATATCATATGGAAAGCTAGAGGTAGAGTTCCCCATGTTCTAGTAAGCCATCAACGATTCCCCTAGATCCCAGTTCCACCTTCTCAGCCAAGCTCCAACACATAAGGGTGGGCATCTTTCCAGTCGCTTCCTGGGCGAATCCACCAGCCCCCCCAAAGTGGGACAACGACCGACTCACGCGGCGCTTCCCGACGTGTTCTTCCGACCCCACCGACCTGGACCGACCCGCAGGTGGGCGGACAGTTCGTGGACCTGCTCGAGGCCGAGGAACGCCTCCCCGCCCTGCTTGTCGGGCCACGCGTGCGGCGCGTTCACGGGCGCGTGCGCTACGTGTGCGGGGGTTCAGACTGGCGGAGCTGGAGCGTCGAACCAGGGGAAAAGGGTCGCTATGGAAGTGGAGTTCACCACCTGCTTGGAGAGGAACACGATGATCCTGGGGGGGTCCATGCTCCACTTCCATGATCATTTTTAGGAGTGTATGGATGGCTTTTCTGATTGTGCTTGGGCCCGGGCCTCCAACCCTGGGATTCTTTTTCGAGCGGAGGGGCTCTGTCGACTTAGGGCGATCCGTGGCAGGTCTCAAGGAAGCCCTGCTGCCGCCAGAGAGTACCGGTGCCGGTGGTTCTGCAGCGCGCGAGGCGTGGAGAAGTGCAGTGGGAAGTTTCTGCAACCAAGACAAAATCAGAGAACTCGAGGCAATGGAACCTTTGTTTCCCCATTTTTCCCGAAAGCATTGCGAAGGGTTCTTCCGGAAAATCCTTTGAACACTGACACTTCGACACTTACACTTCTGAACACTGACACTTCGACACTTACACTTCGACACTCACACTGACACACTTACACTTCGACACTCACACTGACACACACACACACTGGAAGAGCGAAAGCATCCAAGTGTGAAGTATGCCAGGGTCAAAGTATGCAAGTGTGAGTATGCAAGCATGCAATGACTATGCAAGGGCAAGTGTGAGTATGGTAAAGATGGAAAGCTAGCACGGGAGATGTCCTAATGAAAAAA